CAGGCAAAAGTTAGGGCCAAATGGCCCTTTCTTACACTTAACCTGTCATAAATATAACACATATATTTTAACAATTACATTAATATACAACAAAGACAAAATCTAAATCATGGATACAGAAACATTAACAAAAGAAAATAACTTACATTTTAAACTGTACAAAAATAATCTTCCTGTCTCCCTCTCTCTCTCTCTCTCTCTCTCTCTCTCTCTCTCTCTCTCTCTCTCTCTCTCTCTCTCTCTCTCTCTCTCTCTCTCTCTCTCTCTCACTCACACACACACACACACCAAGCACATCTGTCAGTGACCAACCAGCGTACAAGCCCCTAGGACAAACCAACCATGGCCATACGTTCAAAATACATATTTTTTAGCGCTGCCACAAACCGGGAACGGTTATCAAGGGATTTGATGGCTAAGGGGAGGTCATTCCAAAGTCGGCAAGCGGTCACAACAAACGCCCCGTCGTAAACTGCAGTCCTATGATGAGGCATACGCAAAGTCAATGAAGCATAGCGTGAATATCTAACACTTTCTTCAGCTACAAACCTAAAATCAGTAGGATGCAGTGCTCGCCAAGGAATCAGAATGGAAAGTCAATATATACACGGTCAATATATTTATATGCTTTTTGATCAAGGGACTGAATCCAACTGTCCTTGACAATTGATCCTTTAAAGGATGGTATTGACTAAAGAACCAGCTGATTATCATAACACTTGTCTTTCACTCGCCTTTATAATACACACCCTGATGTGTCAGGGTGGTTTGAATAAAATACAATGTATAGTTTTGTATTCTTAATTCACTTGTGTGGTTTGATATGATAGTTGATTTGTTGTATTTATATGGAAGTCAAATTTAACTGTAATTCATTCCGGTTGTTTTTACGTGATGTGTTATCAATGTCTTTCTTAGTTTGTTGGCTACTCATCACTAAATTAAAATTATACACAGTATACTAAAAAAACGTGGAGGTATATTTCGAGTCTTAAAAAAAAACTTTTTTCTGGGAAAAAAACTCGAAATATACTTTCAAATTTTTTTAGTAAACTGTGTATAATTTTAATTTAGTGATGAGTAGCCAACAAACTAAGAATAACATTTAACTGTAAGTTAATAATAGTTTTCTTTTTATGGTGTATCTACAGTCACAGTCTCCTATTATATACAATGTATCCCGTAACAGCTTGGTCCTATTTCGGCTTCTTTTCAACAAGGAATAAACATCCAACAAAAAACTACAATACTCATACTTACTAGATTTTCACATTTTACAGTTTAAAGGTTAACATAAAGTTCGAAATATTGAGTTGGTTATTCACAGCCCGATTTCCATAATTAAGGTATTGTTAGATTTTAATTTCAAAAAAGAAAGAAAATTCAATTATTATTTTAGTAACACAAGCGTTAAAACACATTAGCTACAATTTTCTAATAATGGCTATTTAAGCCACTTTAAGCAATTTGAAAGCTATAAACGTGAAAGTCAAGGTGTAAAATAAAACATTTTTCTAAGCCTTAGAGTCTATGGCCCAAAGGGGAAGTTATTTAGTGTTGTGCTGCAGTGGTTAGTGGTGAAAAAGGTTAACCACAGTACTGCAGACTTGCAGTAAAATATGAACATCCATTTCCCTACTACGATTTTGTGGTATCTGTGGGTTCTCTTATTATTATTGATCTCGAACATTATCAAATAGCGATGTTTAATCTGTATGAATTAATCTCACCACTATATGAACGAATATTTGATTATGATTTATTTACAAACGAATAAAGAAGTGTACTGAATCATAACATAGTCAAAAACTAAATGTTTAACAAAACTAGCAACAGCTGTTACATAATAAATATTAAATAAGTATAGACCAAAGGCATCACAGATATGGCTAAGTTGACGCCACATAGGAATTGATATTGTCAACTAGCTGTAACCCGCGGGCTTTGCCCCGTTTAACTTCTTAATTTTCAAGATTATCTCGTTCGCATGGCTCAATCACGTCCTGGTTGAAGTTTGTTCGCTACGCTCACTCACCTTTAGGTTGGAGCTCGTTCGCTACGCTCACTCACCTTTAGGTTGGAGCTCGTTCGCTACACTAACTCACCTTTAGGTTGGAGCTCGTTCGCTGCGCTCACTTGCCTTCAGGTTAGCTCGTTCGCTACGCTCACTCACCTTTAGGTTGGAGCTCGTTCGCTGCGCTCACTTTCCTTCAGGTTAGCTCGTTCGCTACGCTCACTTGCATTCAGGTTAGCTCGTTCGCTACGCTCACTCGCCTCCAGGTTGAAGTTCGTTCGCTACGCTCACCCACCTTTTGGTTGCAAATTAGCTGTTGTCATAAATGTAAAAGAAATAATAGTGCTAGTGCTGCACCCTGTTGGTAATCCTTGTAACTTTAATGCTATTGAACATCACAGAACAGAACCAACTTGTTTAATTGAAACAGCTGTTAAGATTCAATAATTTCATTTCTCATAAGGTTAACATGGGATGGGAAACTCCAGAGCCACTGGGGCGGAGCCCGAAAGGATTTTTGAAATAAGAATATGCCTATATGTTAATCGGGAATGTGAGCTATCATCATGCCAAATTTCAGCCCAATCCGACCAGTATTTTTCGCGTTTACTTTTCCCATACATACAGCAACCACCTCTTTTTTATAATAGTATAGATAGATAGATAGATAGATAGATAAAATGTAAATACTTATTTCTATTTATTTATTTTTTTATTCTACGTGATTTGTAGAATATAAAAAAAATAATGTTTTGGATATTATAATTTTTTTTGTCCTTAAAACTATTTGACATTAAACTTTTTGTTTCTCATGGTTATTATTATTTTTTTTTACAATTGTATCCAAGCCAATTAGCCAATTATAAATTGGGGTTAGGGTGCATTACTGTTATTAATATGTAGTAGGCCTGACCAATTTGTTTCATTGATTCATATTGAAATTTAGCATCTAATACAATTGTTTTGAAAGTTCTCAATAAGGATTTCGCAAATATATTTAAATGATGTAAATAAACAACGGTCGTAAATTACGTAATAGTGTTTTGTTTTGATTATTTTCGTAAATAGTTATTAGACCTCAGAAAGTTAATTTACGTATCATTTCGTCCAGAACTACAACAACCACTATGATTCAAACACTAATTTATAATTTGTTCATATTTTTGTTGACTTATTATTATCTATGTATCTAGTTTGTGATAAATTAAATTACTTCCTTTTTTGTTGGAAGTACTGGTTTAATGTCAGTTGTAATGGTTAAATTGTTTGGTGCAGATTCCCTTGTTTGTTTAAAATGGCACAATGAATGACAGTTTCCAATCTTGTATTCAGAGTCAGTGTTGGATACAGTAGTTAGTTGTTGGTTGCACGCTAGGATCTGTGTCAGGCTCGCCGTGTTACCGTCTCCTCACAACTGTAGACGCCTTCCAGTCAGCTATAGACTATACCCGCGTCACGCCCGTGCCGTGCTGTGTAGTTTGGGAAATGCATTGGTGGTGTCAATGACTGTGTCATTAGGTAAAATAATATTGCTTTTTACCATGTATAGGTAACTGGTGGTTGTCTACGTGGCTTCGAGATTCAATCTTTAATTTTGATAATGTCGATGGTTTTCAAATGTTAAAACTTTAATATCTACCTACTGAACACTTTTATTGTATTGGTTTATGGCTTATTTGTTATATAAAGTGTTAACAAGTATCGGCACGGTTTTATACAGGGTGATTGATATAAGTGTGCCAGCCGTTTTATTCGAAAACCATAAGAGATATCAAAACAAGTTAAATGGTAAGTGCCTTGGACTTTTTATTTAAAACATTGTAGTAAACTCGAAAAATTATTTTAGCCGCCATTTTTCCAATATGGCCGCTAACTTAGATTTTTCTTATGGAACACACTGTATTTTATTATGTATTCTGGTAGAAAATGTAATTTTAAGACAATTTTACTCTTGCGATTTTTTTCATAAACCTAACCGTTGCAAAGATAATAATGGTTTAAGTTGTGAAATTTTGAATGGTTTTCGAACAAACCAGCTTGCATGCTTGCTTAGGCCTTTATTGAAACTCCTCTTTCTCATGCAGAAATTTCAAAACTTTAACCATTATTATCTTTGAAACGGTTAGGTTTATGAAAAAAAACACAAGAATAAAATCGTCTTAAAATTACATTTTTTACCAGAATACATCATAAAATACAGGGTGTTCTATGAGAAAAATCAAAGTTGGCGGCCATATTGGAAAAATGGTGGCTAAAATAATATTTTTGACTTTACTAGAATTTTTTATATAAAAAATCCAAGGCACTTACCATTTAACTTTTTTTTTTATATATCTTATAGTTTTCGAATAAAATGGCTGGCACACTTATATCAATCACCCTGTATGTTATAAACCATTATAGTTGAACCTAAGATTCTGAGTACACTAGTAATTTAAATAAATATTTAAGCAATTATACTTCCTCTTGAATAGGGATTACATACGAGGGTGCAGGAAAAATGTTATGATAGCATCATAGAGTGACCTTGGTATTGAAATACATATCATTGGTATATATTACTGGTAGAAAATAAAGGGTCCGTTCCCTAAAGCATAAGGTGTAATCTGTTTGTACGTATAATGTAAAAATCTAATGTTCGACGTGTTGCAAAATTGAATGCAATGAACAGTTTGAAAATACTGTAATAAATTGAGTTAAATCCCAGGTACCACAATTTATTATTAGGGAAAGAAATAAAATATTTGGATCTTGATTTTCAGGGTAGCTTAGTATAATTGTTGCCTAATGCATCCATAACTTAGGACAGTATTTTAGCCATTTCTGCTTCCCTGTAATTTCCAGACAGCCAAGAGTCAACATTCTACTATTACTATTAGCCCACTGGAAGCCTACCTTCTGGATTAAAATGATGTATCATTACCTGGATATTTTACTAATAGGTTAAGCGTTTCAGCACTATCTGTAACAATACTGTTTGTTGTAGGTCGGAGCCCAAGACGTTTGCGTTTGACCACTGCTTCAACTCAGCAGAGCCTGGAGTACCACAGTTCGCCAGCCAGGAGACAGTGTTTGACTGTCTGGGTCGGGACATCCTGGACAATGCCTTCCAGGGTTACAATGCCTGTATATTCGCCTACGGCCAGACAGGTGAGCTCAGCACTAAGTATTGCATAGTTGTTGTAATACATTGGATTGTTATACCTTAACTGCCCCTTAATGTATATACAACATTTTCTGTTCTGCTCTGACTCATCTATGTAGGGAAGGACCAAAATTTTGGGCTCCTATCAAGCAATAATCATATTCTCCTTCAGGGCCTTAAAAATATTATATCAGGTCACATAGACAAGCAGGTGGTACAAGAAAGTTATCTCAAACTAGCAAAGTCTGGAATCAGTCAACGTTTCTCAGTACAAACTGGTTTACCATATTTCTCACATCAAACTGCTACTTAAAATAAACAAATAACATACTATTTAAATGCAGGGACTAATAAAGAAAGAACAAAACAACTTGAAGAGAAATTAAAGTACAGTTTGTTTTAGTGTTGGATACTTGTTAGTTCTTTCCCATCCTTACTCATCTAGTTCTTTGTTTTTAACTTGGTCAGTAAAATATTTAATTAACAAAGGTAGTTAATTGAGCAAGCACCAATAATCTTACCAAAAGTACAATAAATACAAAGGGTTAAGTTTTATTGTGGTTCTTGCATCAGAGACGAAGAGAATTTAAGCTTTTAAGGAAATCGTTTTCTTGGGATGTTTAAAAGAAAAAAATTACCGCAACAGTATTAAAAATATTCAATGAAGACATTGGTTCTGTTAAAATCTTGGTCTGGTTCATCGATCCATCTAGAATGCCCATTATTCATAAATATTTATCCTCAAATATCTCAGAAACAACTTGAATTTTTCGCATCTTGTTTTTGGCACAAATTATTTATAATTGGTTGTTTCTCTGTTGGAAAGCGCTAACACAATCAACTATCATGTTACCTTTTAGTGTTTTAGTATTTAGTTTTTTCTTCATCCCATACCCTATCTCTCAACCTGTGAAAGCATCCATCAAATGGGGCTCATAATTTTTTTATACCTCTAACTATACCGTATGTTAATGTTATATTATTGTAACTATAGTGTTTTACAACACCGCTTTGTAACTATAGTGTTTTACAACACCGCGTTAGGTTTCCATGATGATATTGATTTTCACCAGTCTGCTACAACGTCCATTTGTCATGCGATGAATGAAAAACACTCACCACTGTTGCATGTTAGCTGCTGAAAATAGAATGTTACCAATATAGGCTAGTGCAGTTTTTATATAACAGTTTCACCAGTGTGCTAGTTTCATAATAGATCAGTTGTGTGCGTTTAACACGCTACGTTTTTTCTATTGTAATTCGCCTTGTATTTTTCCTATTTAAACATTAGCGTGATCACTGGATAATGTTTGAAACATTGCTTCTTTTGCCAAAATCATAAAGATCTGTTTAAAGAGATGGGCCCAAATGTGAGTAACAAATCAAGATGACCCCAAGGGAGTAAGGGAATTTCGTCAGGATTATGCCCACAGTCAGTGTTAATGGATGATTACTGGCCTATTTATACAATACCCCCACCGCAGCAAACCTGCAGACTAAGCAAATTTCCATCTGCCTGATTGGATTTACAGTAGAAAATATTGCATTTATTCCCTATTTAAATAGAATTAGTTAAACGAGTACTTAGGTTTGCTGCAACAGGGAGGGTAAAAAAGTGTTTTTCATTGTAAAATGTAAATAGATTAGTAAGAAATTAATGTGTTTTCCAGATATGATCTAAAAATATGTTCATAAACAAGCAAACTACAACAGTTGACTTATTCTCCATAAGAATAACGTGGATTTTTAAATTTACAATTTTTGGAATTTTCTCCGTTTTCATTAGGCACACAATAACGCTTCAATATACTAAATTGTGTTTTTTTTTTAAGTTCTACAAAATGGTTTGGAAAGAAATTGTGAAATTTGGTGTTTTTAGAGTAAAAAATGGGAAAACCCTATTTTTACACCATAAAACCCCCCATAAACCCCCATTCCCATAGTCCAATCATCCTGGTTTGCGATTTTGTTCGAGTAAATGTAGATTTACATGTTCATACCAAATTTCATCAAAATCGGATCATTTTTGCTTGAGTTATCACGCTAACGGACACACACACACACACACACACATGTATGCTTTTAATATGCTTCTTTGCTTTTAATACAAGAAGAGAAGTAGTAGTTTTTAAAAATTCAATTTTGATTTATATCTAGTAGTCTTAATAGCTTTTTTTTATCATGTCAGTAAAATAATATATAAAAAATAGGTGTCAGCTATGACCGCTACCTAACCTAAACTACCTTATTGTCTTCAGTCAATTTCTAAGGATAATAGTATAAGTAAATGAAAATAAGTAGGTCCATTCATTATTGGAAAATTGGAACCAGTTAGCGAGTTTCCTATGAATATTAAGCTAACACACCAGATTGTATGAACCCACTCCAGTTACCTAAGTACAGAGTAGGTGTAAGTAGGATTACCTAAGTACAGAGTCATCTCATTATTCATTGTTTTTACCATTTAATAATTATAGTATGTAGTTATACTCACAGTCTATTGTTTAGGAATTCTGAGTTTTCATAGTTTTAACACACTTAAAATCTCTTTCAATTCACATTTTACATAAACATATTGTATTTAATTCTCACATGTAATAGTTTCATTTTCCCCCTGCTGTTTTTGTAATTTGTATGGGATTGAAGTTGGAGGTATTGTCAGGTCAGAGCCTAATCATGTTGAAGGCCAGAACTCTCTTGAGAGTAGATAACTAACCTTCCTCTCCATCATACTTTATCAGCCAAACTTCCACTCTTGTCTATACCTAAGTTTCACTCATGGATAATTACAAGCATTAGCCTAAAACTTCCTCTGGTAGAGCTGAGATTAGGTGGTTATAGGTTTACTGTGTCACTCACTGTACAAATAATTTGATCAAAATCCTAATTTATTTATTCAGATATCATTGTTAATTGCAATGCATGTTTGGACGTGTGTCTTCATGTCTGGTTATGTTTAGGTGTGTTGATGTTCACTAAGTGTTTTCTATCTTAGGATAAGTTATACTGCGTGCGCTTACCGAATGGATAGCAATAGCTTACAAATATATCGTTTCATATAGTCGTTAAATTTATTGTCAGTAAATGAATTCACAAATAACAAACATCTACTAATAAATTCAAATAAATCAAATATTTTATCTTTCTCCACAAGGCAATCAAGATTAAAATTACAACCAGATATATATCTTAATGGTTTAAAATTAAATCAAGTGGAGCACACTAAATTTCTTGGTCTAATATTAGACCAGCATTTAACCTGGGATGAGCATGTGAAACATGTGGTAAAAAAATCTACAGCTGGTATTTATGCTTTGCGACAAATGTCCCGTGTCTCAAGCATTGAAACTCTTAAAACTATTTATTTTGCTTTAATAAATTCACATATAGCTTATGGAATAGCTTTATATGGTGGTACCACAAAAAAAAAACCTAGACAAAATTCTACGTCAACAGGAAAAAGCTCTTAGAATTATCTTTAGTATAAAAAACAGAGAATCAGTTAAAAAATATTTTTCTAAATTGGGTATAATGACCATCTATGATTTATACATTTTTGAAACTATTCTACGTGTAAAAAGTTCAGATTATCAAACTAAAAATTTCCACAGTTACAATTGACGAAACACCAGGCATGTAGAACAACACAGATTGAAGTTATTTGAGAAAAAAACCAGTTTCATTGGCAAAAAATTGTTATTTAGCCTACCCAAAAATATTTTCAATGAACATAATTACAGTAGCTTTAAAAAACTACTGAAAAACTATTTGCAATCTAAATCATTATATTCAATAGAAGAGTTTTGGAATTTAAATGATTAGAAATATGTTATGTTATGATTTATGTTTGTAATCTATTATTTAGGATACTTGTATACCTAATTTTTTGCTTATCTTTTCCTTTCTGTGATGCAATTCATGTATTTGCTGTAAAATACTTGATGAATAAAGATGATTTGTATTGTATTGTATTGTATATTGTCGTGATAAAATAAGAAGAAATCAATATGAGACTTTTACGCATGCAAGCATTACAGGACCTAAACACATCAAATTAATATTTGGCTGATCCAAAAGAAAGCTACTAAAACCTGGTATTCACCTATTAGTATAGGTTTTTTGAAATAAACATATTAACAAATGACAACACACCATTTAGCCTATATGAAAAGTTGATCTCATAGATATCTATTTTAGTCAAAGGTTTTCCTAAAAAAAATCCTTACAAAATATTAGAATTCAATGCTAATTGACTAAAAATATTAAAACTTAAAGCAGAGTTATGAGACTTTGGTTAACCTAATACTACCATAATAGTTTACCATAATGCTTCTTAGCTAACCACTAAAAACCTGGAGTAGTTAAAAATCAAGTCCCAAATGCCATCTAAAGTGTTTTAGAGTAAAGTAACCAAATTGGCAACAATCTGTGTGAGCATATAACTCAAACAAACAGGCTGAGTGCTGAAACCCGAGTACTACGCTTGGTTTAGTACAGTAGTTTTAGCGTTTATGGACATGTGTTTCTAGAAAGATTTTCAAAAAATAAAGTCTTGATTTCTAAACCAACTAGCCTTAGTAATTTTTGTTTGTTTAAAATTCAAACCATGGTGAACACACCTTTTTTATCAGGTCACCAATAGTTTATGAGGTAAATCTAACATTGAGGTATTTCAAAAATCCAAAACATATAAACCCAATTACTTTTTGTTGACATGTTGTTATTTATTTAAGGACATAGATGCATAAATTATCTACTTGGCGTGTTATAATCAGTACAAGAAAGTCCGCTTTATCAGGTAACTGTAGGAAAAAATTATTTCGCTATCCTATTATGGTTAGTAATGTCTGAAATTACCATGGAATTCCCTAAATCTTGCATTTAAATCTGAAACCATAGTGTGTAGTTTTCTTTAAAACTGCATATTCGTAACACCAACAAACATATTGCGGTTTTTATACCAGAATATTTTTTTAGATTATATACATTATTGCCAAACAAGGAT